TCCTGAAGGTGAGGAACTTGCACAGGCGACTCCAGGTGCCCAGCCGCTCCTTCACATTCTCCTGCAGCTCGACCCAGTTCCTCTGCGGTGGTTCCTCCTCTGGTCCGAGGAACACCCCCAGGTAGTGCAGTGATGTTGTGCTCCAATTGATGGTTTTTGCCTTCTCGGGACACTCGGTCATGTCCCACGCTCCAACCAGCAGGTCGCTGCACTTTTGCCAGTTCATTTTTGATGAGGAGGCCTTCGAAAAGACCTCCTGACACTCGTGCAGCAGGGCGACATCATCCAGGGAACGCAGGATGAGGAGGACGTCGTCGGTGTATGCCGTCAGGACCAACTTGACGCTTGGTTCCCTGAGCACCAGGCCGCTGAGTCTCCGCCTTATGAGACTCAAGAAAGGGTCTAATGCCAGGGCATAAAGTTGGCCCGACAATGGGCATCCCTCTCTCACTCCTCGCTCGAATTTGACCGGGGCAGTGAAGGCGCCATTGACCTTGATCATGCAATCCGCCTTGGTGTAGAGTAGGCGGATCGTTCGGACAAAGCCATCCCAAAAACCAAAGTTCTTGAGGGTTCCCAGCAGGTATTTGTGGTCCACTCTGTCAAAAGCCTTTTCCTGGTCAAGGGCCAGAAACACGATTGGGATGCCCAACCTCTGGGACACCGCGATTAGGTCCCTGACCATGAAGATGCCGTCGTGGATGGTTCGTCCGTGGATGGTTTGTCCGGGGATGGTGTAGGACTGGTCCCTGTTTACGACTTGTGCAATCACCCCTTTCAGTCGCAGGGAGAGAGCCTTCGTCAATATTTTGTGGTCTGTGTTCAGGAGGGACACCGGACGCCAATTTTGTAGGTGCCTCAGGTCTCCGTTCTTGGCAAGCAGAGTGAGCACCGCCCTCCTCCAAGACTGAGGCATCACACCGGTGACAGAGGCTTCCTCCAGCACCTATCTGTAGTCCTCCCGTAGGGATGGCCAAAAAGCGGCATAAAACTCCCCTGTTAGCCCGTCTAACCCTGGGGATTTATTTGGGGCCAGTCCTCTTACAGCTGCATTAAGGTCATTCCTGGTGAGCTTTTGCTCTAGCAGCTCTTTCCCGTCTTCCCCCAGGGTGGGTAGACCACTCCATGCCTCCGCCTGGGCCGATCCCGATGTTTCTTCAGGGGAGAACAGGCTGCCGTAGAAGTCTCTGATGATGGTCGACATCTGCTGGAGTTCGTGCGCCAGGACTAAATCTTTCATTTAAAAAGGAGGGGGAGGGGTTTACATAAAGCAAGACATTGAAAAAAAATGAAATGATGAACGAAGCAAAGTGCCGACTACACCGAGCATCTTCTTGTTTCCTCTGATCGGGAAAAAAAAAGAGAGGGAACGAGAGAGAGGGGACAGAATGAGAGAAATGGATGGAGGGAGAAAGCGGGAAAAGGGAAGGGCGCGGAGAGATGGGGAGAGTTTAGGGAGGGAGCAGAGACGATTGGAGGAGAGGGAGAGAGCGGAGGGAGACGGAGGTGAGAGTGTGAGATGAAAGGGAGAGAGAAGACAGACGAGAGAGTGGGAGAGGGCGGGGAGGGAGAGCGGGGAAGGAAAAGAGAGGGGCGAGTGCACGGGGAGGGGGAGGCGAAAGGGGGGGAGGGAGATGGGGGGGAGAGAGAGGGAGAATGGGGGGAGAGAGAGGGAGAATGGGGGGAGAGAGAGGGAGATGGGGGGGAGAGAGAGGGAGATGGGGGGAGAGAGAGGGAGATGGGGGGAGAGAGAGGGAGAATGGGGGGAGAGAGAGGGAGATGGGGGGAGAGAGAGGGAGATGGGGGGGGAGAGAGAGGGAGATGGGGGGGAGAGAGAGATGGGGGGAGAGAGAGATGGGGGGAGAGAGAGCGTGCGCGAGTCTTCCTGCTCGTCTGCTCCATGAGCCTCATTTAAACACTGCCGCTGCTGCTGCCGCTGCTGGTGCCGCTGCTGCTGCCGGTGGTGGTGCTGCTGGTGCCGCTGCTGCTGGTGCCGCTGCTGCTGCCGCTGCTGCTGCCGCTGGTGCTGCCGCTGGTGCTGCCGCTGCTGGTGGTGCTGCTGCTGGTGTTGCTGCTGCTGCTGGTGCTGCTGGTGCTGCTGCTGCAGCTGCTGCTGCTGCTGGTGCTGCTGCTGCTGCTGGTGCTGCTGCTGGTGCTGCTGCTGGTGCTGCTGCTGGTGCTGCTTTCTGTTCTGCGGGCTGCACGCTTAATGTTGTAATCATCATCACTCACCACCCTGGTTGCGGTCATAGACGGTAGTTGCAATCATCATCATAGCCTGTAGTTGTAATCATTCATAATATACTACAGTTACAATCATCGTAATATACTGCAGTTACAATCATCGTAATATACTGCAGTTACAATCATCGTAACGGACTGCCGTTACAATCATCATAATAGACTGCCGTTACAACAGCATGATTTCCATATTTACCTTCCACGAACGTCAATTATCACCCTGAGTCACCATCATCGCTATCATCATCATCTCTCCAGTTATCATCATCGTAATCACTATCATCATTTATCCTCATCACGAGTCACTTTCATCACCACGACAGTCATCACCATTCTCATCAACGCGCGATTTCAACCTCAGATTCCGTTGGAGTGGAGTGGGCTCAGCGATCCTGAAAACCTGGCGCCTCAGCTCCAATCGGATCGGATCACTCTAGCGGGATCGTGGGAACTGGATTTGTGGCACTTCAAATTCGGGATCAACGGTTCCAGGATGTTGTGAGCAGGCTCTCTCAAACGGAACAGAACAACACGCGGACCGGATCGGAGTCCTTCAAGGCCGGACCATCCAATCCAGTCAACTCGATCCACCCCGCATCTTCGGTTTCTTTTTAGACATCTCTCTCGCTCTAAACCGGGTTCGGAACTTCCAAAAGCATATTCGATCATTCGAATCGGATTAGAGAAACATCGTCTCCGATCAAGCTGAAGCCGATCAATAAAAAAAATCTGATCCTGAAAAAAAAAAGAAAGCCCCCCACCGTCATCAATCATCAACGTGCTGGACCGCGCAGACAATCTCCGGGATCAATCGACTCTACAACCAGTTAGGGGAAATATTCAATCTGGGCGACAGTAAACCGGATCAGAAGATACTCAACCTGTGCCAAATATAGCCGGATCTATTTTTTATGTGGAGGGTTTATTTTTCTCGGCATACGCGGCGGGATTATCCAAAACCGGATTGTTAAAAATCGGATCGTTTAAACCGGACTGCCCAAGCCTGAGCGTTCAAGCCGCATCGTTCGAAACGTCATCAAAGCTATCGAGGAAGATAGCGGGGGGAGGGAAAAACCTGGATTAAAGCCATCAAATATCGTATTAATACATCTCGAACCGGAAAGTTCAAAGCCGGATATTTCAACCGGGATATCACGGCCATCAAAACCAGTTCGGGGAAAAAAACCGGTTCGAGCACTTGAAGACCTGAAGCGAGCCATCAGGGGCTGACCACTGCAACGAATTTTCAGAACTGGAAAAACCGAAATCCTTGAAAAACCGGTTAGAAGCCATCAAACCCGCCGAAATATTTTTTGAGCCGGAGTGAAGACATCAACGCGGAATCCTACAACAAACAACAACAACAAAGCCATAGAATTGGACGGCGCGGAATGTACCACTCGCTGGTGTGTGGGGCCAAGTGAGTGAATTTGCGTCTGAAGTGAGTGAATTAGTGAATGGGTGAGAGAGACAAAATCGTGACCGAGTGAGTGACTTCGTCTCCAGAGTGAATTCGCGTCAAGAAGTGAGTGAATTAGCGAACGAGTGAATAGATTAATGTCTGAGACTGTGAGCGGTGTGGGTGAATTTAGTGAGCGATTTGGTGTTTGAGTTAGCGAGTGAATTGACGAGTGAGCTCGCAATTGAATTTAGTGTGGGAGTAATTTCGTGTTTGAGTGAGTGAATTAGTCAGAGTTAATTAGTGAGTGAGTTTATTATTGACTGAGTGAATTAGTGCTTGAGTAAATTTGTGTTTGAGTGAGTGAATTGGCGAGCCAGTGAATTAATGAGGGAGTTTATTATTGAGGGGTGAATTAGTGATTGAGTAAATTCGTGTTTGAGCGAGTTAATTAGTGAGCAAATTCATTATTGAGTGAGTGAATTAGTGATTGAGTAAATTTGTGTTTGAGCGAGTGAATTAGTGAGTCAGTTAATTATTGAGTGAGTGAATTCATGTTTGAGTGAGTGTGAGGAGTGAGTGCGTGTTAGCGGATGACTTCATGTGAGTGAGTCGGCAGGTTTACGAGTGAGTAAAACAAGGGCTTGTAGGTGAATTGGTGGCTAAGTGAGTGAATAGATGGCGAGTGGATAACGTGGAAAGTGATTACATGCGTGAGCGCACGAGTTAATTTACGGGTGTAAGTGTATAAGGGAGCGTGGGGCGGGGGGAGCGGTGGCGCAGTGGTTAGGGCACTGCATTACGAGTTCGATTCCCTGGGCCCACGGATGACATCTGTGGCGAGTGACATCCGAAGCCGATCCCGAGCCTCGCTCCCTCCCTCCAACTTCAGTAGCCCTGTGAGCCATTCGGCTCTTGAATCGGGTGCAACCGCAACAAACAAAAAACATGAACAAGAAAACATCTTAAAGTGACGATGTGACTATGTGCTTCACCAACTGCAAGTGGAGTTCGTGATCCCGAGTTCGATTCTCGCTAACAAGACCAACATCAGTGGCGGATATCTGAGCCGGTCCTGGACCTCGCTTCTGGTCGACTCAGGCCTCAAATAAAACATCAACACTCGAGAGAGGACTGCCGTGGTGCTGCCCACACCACATCGACCAACCCACCACCCCACCTCCGTTCCTGGAGGCCAAAAATAGGCGATCGCTAACAACGGCCCTTGCCCGCCACAATCGTCTCTTGAAGGCGACACCCGGGGGAGGCGTCGTTCTCCTCCGCGCGACCGCGCAGACGGCGCCCGCGAGTGTTTTGCGGCACCCGCTGAGCGACTGCGCTGAAGAGCCGCCGACCCAAAACAACGCGGCAAAGGGGGCGAACAAGTTCGAATCCCAGCCGGGACGGGCGGACTTTGGCGCTCGAGACTTCGCGGGGGGGGGGCTCTGCATCATCGTCATCATCATCGTCATCATCAGCCTGGAGACGAACTCCAGCGGACGCCACGGTTGAGTCTCCGTGAGCCGACACCGGGGGATCACCGGTCTGGTGGGGGGGGCGGCGAGGGGGGGGGATTCTGGGGAAGCCATGTGATTGGTGGACCGGTGGGAAGGGGCGTGGCTTTGTGCAGGTGTGAGGGTGGGGGAGGGGCCATGGGGGGGTCCGCGCTGGTCACGTGGTTGGTCCTGGCGCTCGCAATCGGCCAAGCACCCAGTGGAGGTGAGTCTGGCTGCCCGCCTGATGATGCCCGTTGCGATTACTGGCGAAACGTCGAACTCAGATTGGAAATGTTGTGGATTTGCTCTCCAATACACAACCGGTGTGCTGTACTAATGACGAATTCGGCCTGTTCTGTTTACGTGACACACCTTACTAATTGGTTGTGTCGGGTGGTGGCGGGTTTAACGACACGTTTATTTCCGCGATCTAACCCAAGACAACCTGTGTTATGGACTTATGGACTGTGTTATGGATGATATTGGTCGCGAAAGTCTACGTGTTAAACTGAGTGAGTCTTCGTGCACCTAGTCTGGCACAGGCGCTCGGCGGCTGCTGTTGTCGTCTTCGTGAGCGGTGGCGCAGTTGTTAGCGCACTGCGCTGTGAAACCTGCGGGGCGCAAGAGTTCGATTCCCGCTCACGGCCACCACAATCGGTGGCGAATATCTGGGCCGGTCAGAGTCCTTTCGCCTGACTCGGGCTTAGATGATTACCCGGTGCGGTGTCGAAAGGACACGAGGAGACAAAGGCGGCCGCGCGTGTCGCTGGCCACCACACCGCCCTGTGTGCTTTACCGGCCTTAATAGGCGCTCGCAAACAGCGTTTGCCGCAACAGTCTGTTCAAGGCTACAAAGGTTCCTGGTTTTCTCCCCCACCCCCCTTTAGCTGAAAACCAAACCATGCAATGTCACTGGTATTGGGCCAAGACATCCCAATGCAAAAAGAACATCGCCTGCAAATGACAATTCCGCTCTTGCGTGTGATGGGCCCTGTGGCTGGGGAGATACATTCCAAATGTAGGGGTCTGCTGCTACTGCTGCTACTGCTGCTACTGCTGCTACGAGAGAGACTTTGTGTCGTATCGCTGTTCCTCCTCAGTTCAAGCAGCGCAGACTACCACAGGGGGTTTAAATGCCCCGCGGTGGCTATGAGATGTTAACTACCTCGCCTGGTATACAGGAGGTCGTGCGTTCGATCCCGACCCTGACACCTGCTGCTGTATATTTGGAGTTTGCGGTGTCTCCCTCCCCATGGTCGCGTGGATTTTTCTCAGGGTCCTCCGGGTTTTCCCTCCACATTTAGAAGCACGCGTTTAGACAATTTTTCTGCTTTACATTTCCACGTGATAAGCCACTTCATTGTGGCTTATCACATGGCCAGGTCGCTTCTTAAAAAGAGCTAAATAACTCAGTGGGTCTTACCTGATAAAATAAAATATATATGGTTTTAGTTTAGTTTATACGATCTATAGTGTGGGTTGCAGCGCCAAAGTCGCTCCACTGTGGCTTGTTTTTAATGCATCTCTATAAGTCGATATGCATCTCTCTGTGTCTTTATGTGGCTTTCTATTTACTCGATGTTTCATAGTTAGGGTTGCATGGCTACGGACGCACTGCTATGCATTAATATTGATGGTTCTGTCTCTCTTTGTATATCAGTGTGCCTCTGCGGGTCATCTATCTCCATGACTATCTATATCTCTGATTCTCTACTATCTCAATGGGTCTATTTGTATCTGTACTAGTCTATATATATATCTCTTTGGGCCTCTATGGGTCTCTGTATCTCTCCGTCTCTACGCGTCTCCATCTATCTGAGTCTCTGTGTGTCTCTGGGTTCACGACGTTGGTTTTATAGTTTGGGTTACATGGCCACAATCGCTCGAATTTTCTGTGACTTGTGTCTTGAATTTTCTTACTTGGGATCATGACGATGATCTGAACTGGTCCTGGGCCCACCTCTAGGTCGACTAGGCCTCAAATGAGTATCTGATGTGGTGTGTAAAGCATCGCCACCAGGGAGACAAAGGCGGTCAGGCCTGGTGCTGGCCACTCACCCGCCCGTGTGCCGTGCCCCGTGCCGGCCTTCATAGGTGCTGCTTGCTAACAGCACTTGCACCGACAGTATGTGAAGGTTATACGGGGGTTATTTGTCTTTGTGGTACTGGGGAGCGATAGCACTATGTTGCGCTACGAACCCAGCGATCCGAGTTCGATTCCCGCTCACTGCCAACACCGGTGACGATCCATCCCCTAGGTCGACTCAGCCTCAAATGAGTATTTGGTGCGGTGTGCAGTAAACATCAGCACTGCCATCCAGGTGCTATCTAACAGCACTTGCCCCAACAATTTGCTGAGGTTATACAGGAGATTCTTCTTCTTAAAAATAGAACAATTATATAATTGGCAATGTTCGGGCAACGGCCCTTTTTCATAACACATGCATGTGCTGTCGATATGTGATATGCTCTGAAGCAGGGTCATTGCCCGAAACGTCGCCTGAACGTCGCATGTTACACAAACACACACACGCACACATTTTATTTCAAGGGTTTAAAAAAAAATCTGCTACTTGTGAAAAAAAGATTGTGTAAATTTGGGACAAGAACTGCGAAGTCGCATTGCTTGGCACAGTGGGCATCTTCCTGCGTTGTGCATGAGTTGGTTGTGGTTGTTGTTGACTGGTTTTGCACCACTGCCAACGCAACAGCAGCAGCAGCGCCACCAAATCACGTGTGGCAAAATAGTTGATATCACTCACTGGAAAGGTGATGTACGGGCGCCACGGTGGCGAGATGTCAACTACCTCACCTGGTACACAGGGGGTCGTGGGTTCGATCCCGACTCTGACGCCTGCTGCTGTATATTTGGAGTTTGCGTGTTCTTTCTCGTGGTCGCGTGGATTTTTCTCCGGGTCCTCCAGTTTTTCTCTCTCCACATTTAGACACGTGCGTTTAGAGGCGTTTGGCTGCTCTCAATCGGCAGCGATAAATTCCCACGTGATAAACAACTTCGTTGGGGCTATCGTTTTTAATAGCCAGGTCGCTTCTGAAAAAAAGGACCGATATAACTAAGTGGAGTCTTACCTGGATAGATAAAAATAATAGTTTAGTTTTAATGCTTTGGCATACATTCCTAGAATGTCATCACCCAGATCCAGAAGAACGCTGCTACTGTGTGAACAGAGTGGGAACAACCGCGGACGTCCGGAAATGAACGCCTCCTCATTCCAGACCCAAAGCTCCCGCTCTTCCAACACACTGCTGCAACCGTCAACCACATCAGAACGTCTACTGGCTGATGCTGCAGCATCTCCCTAAAATGAAACATTCGACTGTATGCTAAACCCATAGAGATGCACGGAGATTTCGTGCCGCCCGACACAGCAGCAGTCTTCAACAATTGGACGTCTTTATTTCTCCCCCAGCACGAGACACACGCGGGTCTTCAAGGATTCACTTTACTCCAAGCGTCCCCCCATCACCTATCTCTTCCTCAAACCGCTTTCTCGATGGTTCCTTGACCCCCCCCCCCCCCCCCCCCCACTTTCACTCTCCAGCCATTCACCTTCCTCGCTTTCTCCAACGGATCCCAACCTGCCAATCATCCTCCGTTTCCCGCTCCTTCCATTTGTGTTTTTGTACCTCCAATCGCCCGCAATGTCCCCTTCCTCGAACCACTCCTCTTGCCAGGCCCCGTTAAGTACCAATCAGAGAGATGGGGGGGGGCGGCTTGTATTTTTTACTTCCAGATTATCTGTGTGCCGCGGTGGTTGTCCACCACGTCAAGCGAGCGATGCGACCTCCACAGAGATGTCCACAGGGGCTCGTGGCGACACGTTCACGACGAGCCAGAGTTGTGCAGATGTCGCTGGTCAACTCAAATTATGGACGAGGTCGTGCAGGCGCAGAGAGCACGCAGAGACGCATGGAGACTCGTGGAGATACTCGCAGATACGTTGAGGACAAACTGCAGTCGCGCGGCTGAGGCCATGCACTTCGAACTGCGGGAGCATGTTTGTCAGAATCATCTTGGAACTGGAATAATCCGATAAGCTAAGAAGCTCTTCGACACAAATGCACAGCAGGGGGCTGTGGCTCAGAGAGTCACGGCAGGTAATGTGGCTCAGATAGTCACGGCAGGGGGATGTGGCTCAGAGAGTCACGGCAAGGTCTCGGACTGGTACAGCCTCACGTCGGTGCCTCTGCTGTCACCCCCCTCGCGGCGTGGAAGCCTCAAATCCCTTTGCACATCCGCAACATCGAACGCACTCTGACGACTTTCAATAAAACGTCTTAAAGGCCTCTCTCTGTGTTGGGTTTCAGGGCTTTCGAGCAGCCCTGCCTGAGCCTGACTCCCGCGCCTGTGAGTTGTTGACTTGTCTGCAAAAAATTTGCGCGTTATAAATGGCATCATTATTATTATTACAAACAGAATACGAAAACTGTTAGGAGTGCAAAGTGGAGGAAATATAAGCAGGTCACGAACTATATAAATATAGCCAGCGGTAGCAGCATCACGGCGGCTAGGAGATGTTAACGACCTCGCCTCGTACATCGGAGGTTGTGGGTTCGATCCTGACCCTGACGCCTGCTGTATATTTGGAGTTTGCGTCTCTTTCTCTCTCTCTTGTCATCATCATCACGGTGGCGAGGAGATGTTAACTACCTCGCCTGGATATACATGAGGTTGTGGGTTCGATCCCGACCCTGACGTCTGCTGTACATTTGAAGTTTGCGTGTCTCTCTCTCCGTGGTTGTGCGGATTTTTCTCCGGGTCCTCCAGTTTTTCCCCTCCACATTTTTGAAGAACGCGTTGAGAGTATGTGGCTACTGCTGTACATTTCCACGTGATAAGCCACTTCGTTGAGCTATCATTTGTGGTCAAAGTGGCTTCTGCAAAAGAGCTGCATCGTAGCTCAGCGGACCTTACCCGGTAAAAGAAAAAAAACGGGTTTAGTCTTTTATTTTAGTACTGGCATTTAGCTCCTACGCCTAATTACACTATCGCACGAAGTTAATATTCTTCGGCATCTCGGTAGAAGGTTTCATTGGGCCGAATGCGCCACCGAGACCATAAATTCAACTACCCATTAACGTCTCGCCGGCTATGATTGTGTCATGTCACTGAGAGGGAGGGTTGCCACCCGTCCTCGTGGAGCCGGGACGATCCGGCATCCGGCTTGTTGCCGGGGTCTGGGCGCCAAGTGGCGCTGAGTTGCG